TCACCAAATAGCATTAAAAAACTTAATGAAGAATGAGTCTATTGTTATTCTCCGACCTGACAAAGGATCAGGTGTTGTGATAATGGATAAAGATAATTATGTGAAAAAAGTGGAATCAGTTCTGAATGACACATCAACATTTCGAACTGATCCATCGAAGAAAGATCAAACCGAATCGATAGAAAGACGGATTACAAAGAAGCTAGGAGAACTTTTAAAGAACAAGTTGATTGACAACAACATATACAACGAACTGAAACCTAAGGGATCCAGATTGCCTTACCTGTATGGCTTACCAAAGATGCATAAGCCTGACATTCCTATGAGACCAATATTATCTATGATTAATTCGCCGTATCACAAAGTAGCTAGGTGGCTAGCAGAAATGTTAGAACCGATCCGTTGTAAATTAGCAGTCTATAGCCTGAAAGACACCTTCCAATTCGCTAAACAATTAGAGAATGTAAGCATCTCAAATAAATTTATGGTGTCCTTCGACGTGTCTTCACTGTTCACAAAAATCCCATTAGAAGAAACAATACAAATTATATGTCAACATGCCGAACTTCTTCCTCTACCCAAGAACGAACTCAAACAACTTTTACTTATGTGCACCAAAGACGTACAGTTCCAGTTTAACAACATTCTGTACCGCCAAATTGACGGGGTCGCCATGGGAAGCCCCCTGGGTCCGATTCTGGCAGATATTTTTATGGGTAGTCTGGAACAAACAAGGCTGAAATCCGCAATCAGTCAGACCGATTTCTATACCAGGTATGTCGACGACACTTTCGTTATTTGTAATTCTCTTGATGATGCATCTCAAGTACTAGAAGTCTTGAACAGCGCCCATCCAAATATCAAGTTTACAATGGAGCATGAAAAAGAGGAGAAGTTCCATTTTCTTGACCTAGGTATCCAACGAGATATAGACGGCAAAATCATAAGATATATACACAGAAAGGAGACCTGGAGGGCGGTTTATCTTAACTTCAAAAGTTTCTGCCCTATAAGTTACAAAAAAGGATTGGTGAGAACATTATTTGATCGTGTAAGGAAGCTGTGTTCAGAAGAAAAGATTGAGGAAGAGCTATCCATTGTGGAGAAATGCCTACGCGACAACGGTTACCCACAAAAGTTCATTGACAAGTATGGGAGACGTCATGTTGAAAAAGTGAAAATCAGCACAGTAGAGAAAAAGCCTATCTTTCTGCAGCTTGCATTCAAAGGTGATGATATTGCCAGTAGAATAAGATGCAGACTAAACGCTGCCCTGAAAAGAACATATCCAGCCGCCAAGCTTGTATGTGTTTATCAAACAACTAGTTGTTTGAGACAATCAAAAGTGGACAAATACCCACCTCATGTTACCTCCAACTGTGTCTACCAATTTACATGTACGTGCCAAAGCACCTACATCGGAAGAACAGAGAGAAGGGTTATTGTCCGCATTTCTGAACACATACCAAAGAACCTGAGATTGAAAGGTCCACAAGTATTAAACAGTGCAATTGCGCGTCATCTATTAGACACTGGTCATAATGTAGACAAATTGAAGTCATTCAAAATAATCAACAAGCAAAAGAAACCTAACTTGCTACGCTTTGCTGAAGCAATTGCTATCAGACGACTGAAACCAAATCTATGTACACAGAAAGAGACAGTGGTGAATCTTGCACTGCCTTGGTGACAAGAAAAAGAAAAAAAAATATATATATATATATACAACAGCTTGTTTTTGTTTCTAAGCCTAATTGCCTAATTATTCTATTAATATTTATAAACTGTCAAATATTGATCACAGTTCATTTGAATTATTCTAAAAATAGTCAGTGTTTGTAACTCTTAATTAGTTAAATCATTCCGGACTAATGCTACTTTTACTTCCTACCAATTACTCCTTGTGATCGTGGAAAACTATGTTCAAATCTTTAATGTAATGTAATTCATATTTTTCATCGTTCAGGTTGTAACCAGTTGAGAAGAATCCTCGAAATAATAAAAAATGAGCTCATATTATCCTGGTACAATTGTTGTTCTTGCTTTGTTCAAGTTTATTAATGGGAAGAATTGCATGAAGTTTTTGAAAAAGATATTTGTTTGTACAGTGAATTTTATTCTTAGATTAATTTGACATTTTTCTCAAATTCGTTCCAATGTAAACTTCGTCTTGTTGTCGCTTGAATTCAAATGAGAACTATTTAAAAACTGCACCTAATTGATATCGACTTTAGAGATAATTTGGATTCTTTGTTCTATGTAATAGAAAATTCAACTGTTTTATTGACTCTTTTACAGACGAAAAAATTCAGGCCGTCTTGTAGCGTTCCTCTTCGAAATTCTCACTTATGTCTGGCTGTGTAATCGTCTCAATATTTTCAACTAATATCTAAGAGCTAAATTAAGTGAAGTATTCAAGTGTAAGCTAAGAATTTTGCAATTTTATTATTTTGCTTATTGCACTTTCAGATCATATTTTAGCGATTTGAATGTAAATGCAATGAAAAGCGGTAGACAGTATGTGTTTTTCGGATATATATGAATTTCAGTTATAAATACAGCAACCTGTGAATGTCTTCTAAGGCCTTTCAGAAACATTAAATAATTTATCACTTTTCATAAAACAACATCCCTTAATCTTTTCAGATCTTCACTATAACATAGTTTATTTACTTCCCTTACAATCTAGCATTACTCAGTTGAACTATTTGTTTCTCTTAGCCTTTACCCACTACATCTACCTGAACATTTGTTTGTTTTATCATGCTATTTTTGAATTATTCATGTTATCATATATCGCTCCACTTTTTCATCTTTATTATTGATAGAACCATTATTATTATGATTGATTGCACAATTTGTATGCACAATGTTGTCATCCTGTTGAAAAGACACTGTGATTGGTGTATATTTTAAAATTTTATTTGTGAAGTTATGTAAAGTAGACTTAAAGAGAAAAGAACAAAAAGAATAACTTCTTTTTCTTTTCTCTCTAATGTCCTGATGGGTATAATAGTTGAGCCTGATGAAATCTAGCTGAAAACAATACTGTTCACTTACACATGTTGTTCTAAATGATATAAGTGCTGGTGGACAGTTTTCATGTTTCATGTAGTGCGTTTGGTGATTGTGCATAGAAAGTGAGTCTTCAATATCAGTTGTTCATTTTTAACTTGAACTCACTTGATGTCTACCGCTCACACTGAAGTCTTTTATCTACTGTTGTATTCACAGATTACTAGGTGACAGAGGATAATTTTGTTATTTATTTACTCTGAAGTTATTCTAGACTTAAAAAACCACCAGCAACTGTGTATATCTTGGCTGTCAGCAATAACACGGAAATAAAAGTAACATCAATGAAATTTTTAACTAATAGAAACATTTACATATGATGTACTAGCTCAAAATGAAAAACAGAAGCTTTATATATATATATATATATCGATTTTAAACTCAGGCAGTGTTTGTGCTTGTCTATACTGAATGCGAACCCACATCCTCCAGTAGCTGCTGTCGATAATTAAATGAGTTTTTCGCTAAACACTTAGTTAACCTTTGAGCTACACCTAAATATATGGCTTCAAATTTATCGCATTAAAGCATCACACAGCCTCCTACTGGTGGTTGGTAGTTGTTGTTTTATGATGATCAAAAGTAACATAGAAATCCATGAGAAATTAAAACAGAATGTCTGACTGTAGTAGCTGAGGGTTTCAACTCACATTAAAAGTGGTTTAATCAAAAACTGATCTAGCTACACACTTTAAAATCTGTCACCTTTTCTTTCTTACATACACTGCAAATGAATATTTTCTCGTATTTGATGTCAACACTGAATGGGTATAACATATTTAACTAAAATCAGGTGGATATTCTTAAGTTGTTGGATTTCTATGTTGTCTTAAATAAACTGTCAGTGACCATATTAAGTATCTCATTGAGAGAGTTAGTTAATTAAGAGCCACGTATTACCTGTTTAACCAAGGTAAATAATGGCTAAATTACTATCTGATGGGAAAGACTGATATTCTAAACACGAACTTACAAAAGAATTAGTGTGCAAAACATCTGTCAACTGGACTAAACGTATATATATCATGTTAACTGCTGTAAATGATATATTTCTAAGAGTGACAGATAATTATTTCTTTATTTGTATAAGCTAAAAATAGTAATAATATGCTTGCACTCCATTCACATTTCGAAATTTAATCAATCTAATCAATTATTTTTATCATGAAGACGAATATCCCATTTGTTAAGTTAACATTTTAATAAAATGTTTATTTTCTATTCGATGGGATAACCATATAATTATGACAGTGTTTATTGAAAAGGCTATACCTCAGCAAACTGCATTGATAATTCCATATTAAAATAGTACCCCTGCTTCTTCATGAACAATTTTAACGATATTAATTGATGAATTATTAAGTTACAGAAGACATTAATTTGTAATGAGGGTGTAGTATTCATTCATTCTTTGAGTAAATTCAATGAGACTGGATCAAACCGGATTAACATGATGTTATTTTGGTTGATGGTGAGTAGCAGTGGAATCCATGATGTGCATTTCATCCTATTCGGGACCCGCCATCTGGATGTACGTGTGAGTGGTGGTGTTCTCACTGAAACTTGGACCTACCACGCAGCCTAGTGGATAGTTCTTCGGTGTTTCAAAAGATGGGCTCTGGGTTTGCGCTTCACCGAGAACACTGTCGCTCACTTGGATTGCCGGTACGTTCAGATGACAAGTCCCAAATAGAACACACCCTGTATTCCACTGCTAGTCACCATCCACCAGATTTCTGATAGGCATATTTTCCCAATACTAGGTTATGGACAGTTGATTTCTGAGACGGTGCATTTAACAGAACACTGTGTCTGAGACAGGAAAACTAACAAAAGATTTCAGCATATTTTAATTTTATTGTATTTAGAAAAATTATTTTCAAATAAAAGAACATTTTCATTTATTCAAATTTTTTAAATTGTACCATGTGGTAAATTATTATTCCCCAAACCTATACAAGGTAGCATGATATATTTATTATTATAAATTTCAGTGTACAAAAAGCTTGAAGTTAGAGACATCAAATTAGGAATTAATAAGAAGATTATAGTGACAAACACAACACTAACAGTCAATAATTGACAGGAAAATAATTCGCTTAGCGAGTTAGTTAGACAGTATATTTTAGAGCTAATTTACACGAACGAGTATTATCATGGAGACTATTAAGAATCGAAGATAACCGTTCAATCCTGAAGTCTTAGTTTGCAGACTGACCAAATCAACAGGTCTTGATAATTTGATAATCAAACTCAGGATCATCAGACCTCCTCATATGTAGTACGTTGCTTTCAGTCACTGGGTTGGAATGCGATGATTTCACAATAGTTGATTAGTGATGACTAGTTAAAAAAATAAATATTATTGGCTTACTCCAGATATTAAAATTCCCATTGCTCTCAATAGTTCCTGTGTCCTACCCGTAAAACAGATAACAGATTAAGCAAAGGAGAACTGCTTATTGTAATTCTCTGGTACAACTTCCGTTTTAATCATGGATTACCGCAAAAATCAGTTAAGAAATACATTTTTTCTTAAGAGATTAAATGAGCAGGTGGGTTAGAATCCTGTGAATATTTAGGCATAAGTATCAGACAAGCAATAGCGTTTATCGTAGATAGGAAAAGATAAGTTATCATCTGAATACAGTCTAAGCGTGAGGCAAGTTTACGGTATGGATAAAGATTAGGCTGGTTGGAATGATCAGTATAGTAATCAGAGCAGTTACACTTTGGTAAACGCTTGCTATAACGTCTACTGTACTTTGGTGGTTGGGAATATCTAGAATAGCAATGATTTCTAGCGGGGTGTTTACTTAGCTGATAAGTTTGTGCAGCGGCTTCATATGCTGCATTTATTGCTGCATGAGCCGCTAATCTTGAATTAATATGATCATAATTCTTTGTCTGAACTGGAAAGGCACTTCCTGAATATTTCTTTGATCTAGTTATGTCGGAAAGATTAGTTGTACTGAGTGGGTCATTTTTGTTTGTTTTATTGTTAACTTTTCCACCGCAGATCTTCAAATGTGCCGCAGTTTGATTATTTGCACAATAACCTGATGCAAGGACATGAGTGGCTGCCAAAGCAGCTGCAGCAGTCGCTGTCACAGTCGTCTGAAACATTCTTTCTGAAGCGTCGCTATCCACCGCTCCATTACTACCACCGTTATTATCTTCATCGTTATAATCGAAATCAAAATCATCATCCTTATCATCACTGGAAGAACTTCCACTGGATGATGGTGAGGAATATTTATAGGCTGCCTTCATCAGATATTTTTGTTTAGTTATTTGATCAAAGGACATTGGTAAATGTTCTATCCAAGGTGACCTGTCTGAAAGGCTTACCTTAGATTTGTCTTTCATCGCATGATAAGACTTATTTAGCATGTCATTGTCATTCATTTTTTGTTGCACCATTCTGTAGTCATAGAGTTTGGAGGCTTGTTTATTTGTACCAGTGTTATTGTCACTCTCAATACTGTTATTAATAGTATTGATATTGTGAATAATATTGGTACTGGTTGTATTCATAGTCGTAGGTCTTGCTACTTTCCGTGCTTGTCCTATCGGACTATCAGAATCAGGATCTGCAGAACGAAACTTAGCATCTGATGGAAAGCTATTTGAATTCAGAATATACTCAGAGTCACAATAATCCACAAAATGTCCACCTTCCTGAAGCATGTGTAAGTAATGATTTTTATGATTCTTATTTTTATTATTATTGTTACTAGTTGGCTTAGTTGAAGTGCTGTTCTTACGAGATAAAAGTCTTACTGGTTTGCAGTATTTTCCAAAATAGTTTTGATTGTATAACGTGTTTTTTTCCGGTAAATGATCTGTATGTTGTTGTGGTTGTGATGATGATGATGATCTGGACTTTTTGTTTTGTTTACTCATGTAACTAAATGAGTATATGTTCTTATTATCATTATTGTGAATATGATTATCGTGTGCATGTCTATTGAGGTAAAAGTAATCTGAATATGGATCACTGGTACGCCGTTTACCTTGTCCAGTACCTGAGATTGCGTAAATAAAGTCTTGCCAATTAACTAATTCGGTTGATTGATACAGTTTATTGTTCATTACGGCGAGTATAGTTGCAATGCTTAAAAGGCCAAGTTGGTCAAGAAGAAAAATACCTATAAATTAAAGAAATAGAACTCAATAAATTCTTGCATAAGAATAAAATTTATACAATATGCTTTTTACATCATTATTTGATAATATAACCACCTACTGCAAACATCTCTAGAAATAATTCAGACCAAGAACACTTAAAAGGAATACTTGTTTCTGCTAATTTTATTTTCATTTGTTTATCGATGTAAATAAAGGCAATGGAGTAGGTGTTTTTAGACCCACAGTAAAATAATTGTCGACAGAATTACGTCGATTTCAAAACAGTCAGTAGTACGGATAGGTGGTTGTGAATTCACATGCATGTGAATTCTCATGGTCATTGTAGTGTTGGTTACACGATAAAAGGTTTACGAAAAGAATAATTACTAGGTATGGAAACAAAATTTAAGGAATTTATATATATACATATATATATATATATATATGAAAAACATAAATGTGTTTATTTATCGAAGCATGTACTATCACTATATAGCGATCAGTTTTATTCAGATTAGATGGAAATTAATGTGGGCCCAGTGACAAATTATAAAAGATGGTAATATATTGACAAATGATTTTTATAAAATTACTAATATGTGGGATAAAGGCTTATCTTGCAATAGGAAACGAAGACAGAAGGCAGGCTGATGTAGGGTGAGGTCAAAATGTGTTCCTATATTACAAGCGTTTACAAAGAGTTTACTGGTGCAACTATAGGCTAGGATAAAGAAAATGAAGGTATTTAGAAGAAAAGTATACACTTTAGGCATTCTTTTCTAATGTTAGTAATTCCATGACCTCATTTATCGGTGCCGTTGAAAAATCAATAATTGAGCATGTAATATAAGACTATTTGAGTAATACCCAATTTTATTTTTAAAACAAATGGACTCAAAAACACTTTTATCCTAAGGAATTCAATAGGTTAACGCGAAATATTTAAAATTGACCTATCGTCTATGAATACTGTTTAAGAATGGACTGTTGTTTTACTAACATCCTCACTCTGTTTGAATAAAAGTAGTAGTAGCATGTTAAAAGGTTACTACAAAATAAACAGTGAATGGTTTTTGGAATAAATTGAATTAAACCCACATATACGTAACACTGAGTTAGTGGTCTAATGGTGGAATGCCGACCACGCAAGTGTTCCGTATGTGATTCCTGGCACGCGCATTCATAAATCCCGTCTAGTTTACTAGACGATAGTAAGCATGCAACAGAGGGAAGGCTCGGCGTGAGGCTAGCAACTCAATCCCATAAAAGCAACGCCATTAATGGAACTACTATAGCCCATCAGAACACAGGGAATGAAAAATATCCATAAGACTGACTGTTTGAACTTTAAAGTATTTTTTCGCTGTTTGTCTTATACTGATCATTCTTTTATCCAACATTTCATTGACCTGAAAAGCAGTTACTGATTAAAAATTATTTTTGATATGAAATGCTTATCAGTTACTGATTTCGCGAAGTAAATAACGACTTCTTCCACTTAACGAAATTGGTTTTTCTGGTAATGATTATGCTCACTTCTTCCTTGTGACCGGATGTTAGCATACATATGACAACAGTCTAACTTTTCTAAGGATTACTTATCACAACAAGATAATAAAATGGCGGAATAACTGGACGAGACTCATAAATTATCTAGGTGGTTATGTCTTTGTAGCACTATATTAAACTGTGACTTACCTAAAACGGGTAAAGTTCTCATTGATCTTGGTGCATTCGTCGAAACAATGACCACATACATAGTCATACTGAGAACTAAAGAAAGTGCAACTGACAGCCGATCTCCGGTGTCGTCCAGAGTGAATATCAAACAGGCAAGAGCGGATAACATTGAGAATGGAACAAGCACAAGTACAATAAAATACAACGGTTGACGTTTTAAATGGATTGCAATACTCACGTACTGATACGTAACATTGAGATCACTACGATATTTTTTGCGTACAAAATGCACTGACTGTATCTCCCACTCACTAACATTGGAATTGGGTAAGTAGCTATTATCTACAGCTGAACCATGTGTAAATGGATGCAGAAGTAACTGTTGTTCACCACTTTGCCAGGGAACAATAATCAGGAAACATGTTTGATAATCGAAAGGGAAAAATGATACATCCAATGGACATGTCACATCCAGTACTGCACCATGAAGCCAAGTGACTGATCCCTCTTTATTCACAGTTACGCGTCCCCTAACTCCTGCACTGAAATCGAAATCTGTCGATGCCTTGCCATTCATAACGCCTACATCTGGAATCCACAAATTTGTAGCTGGTAGACTAACTTCCTGGATATCAGAAAACTCTTCTGGATTCCACGTTAGCCTTGGGTCAGTCCACCTCTAAGGATACCAGAAACAAAGTCAATACAAATATTAAATGAAAGCAAACCAACAAAGTAACACAATAATTTGACTTCCTTTTTTTTCTGCTGCTACTCATCACATCAGACATCTACGTTCATACGTACGATCGGGTTTCATAATACTGATGGATCATGCTTCATAGGTATTTCCTATCCTTTCTTGAGAGAATCATGTCTTCGAAATCTCAAATTAAAGGTGATAAAAATGCCAGTTATATTGTTCTAAACTCCACAGTAATTAGATATAAATATTTTCAATCATTACTTTAAATATAATGGTTTTTAAAAAAAATAAATAATTACATTTTCAGAAAAATAATCTGACTAGTAAAAAAGTATGTGTCGGTGGCACAGCAGTAGAGTGCTCGCCGACCACAGCTCGCAGCTTGAATCCCTATGTTCTACTGGGAACGTAAAGGAACCAAATTTTTTTTTTGATTTACAGCTTGATTCCACACCGTATTTTCAGTACAAGTGTGGAATTTTCAGCATGGATATCGGTAGCCCAAATTCAGGTCAACCATAGATATCGGGTGTGCGCCGGCAGGGGATCGAACCCCGGACCATGTGCATGGTCGGCGAGAGTCCTAACCACTGTGCATAGTTCATAGTATGCGAAATAAATGAAGAATAGTCAAATTTATCAGAAGGCATAATTTAAATCTCAGTTAGTGTAAATGTTTCATATTCAGTTAGGATAATTTAAAAAAGTATTGCATTAAGTGTACGCCTCTCTGCTATAAGTCATTCACCTGACGCTTAATTAACTAAAATAAACATAAAGTGTGACCTTTCATCTGAATTATACCTGTCCACTGCGACCCATCTATGTTTTTCAGCTGTGATAATTTCTGCCTTAATATATTTATTTAATATTCTCGCGTAATGTTTATTTATCATAGTTTTAGATTTTTTCATTCAATAAAACGAGAGTTTTTCCCTCTTTTTAAGTTGCTCTCGAATATCTGATTGATTAAAACAGGTATATCTTGTGACATATATGAAAGTATAAGGATAATAAAATTACGGTAACAGATTAAACGATGGAAATGAATAAAAAGGAAACAAAAGGAGAATTAGATAAGTCGAGGCGAATAGCCATCTGTGTGCATCCGCGTTCGTATGTTTATGCACTACTTTCAGTATATGGGAAGAAATAAATATGCTATATTTAATTCTATGCTGCTAAGTAAATAATAAAAAACAACTTATCACCTGAATAAACTAAAGAATTGAATACGAAATTGTTTTATGTATATTTAAGGTTGAGCAGTCCAGAAGCTTTCAAGAGAAGATTTCACAATGGTTTCGATCGCAGTTACATATGAGTAACAAATTAAGAGGTATGAATTTTATTTAGGCAGAGTCAGTCTTGTGACAGCACTTTGTAAACTTTCGAAGCTTTACAGATAAAACTTGAAGTCACAGGCATGTGATTGCGTCGCTTAAAATAACCCAGTTACACTGCTTGTTTATCTTTGGTTTCCGAAATCTATGGTGAGATAAATTCAAGTGAAAACTTCAATGCAGTTACTAAAATAACTTTATCAATGAGGCGCTAATGTTTGAATTCAGTTGCTCCCAATATCTTGTATCAAGTGTAAACTAGTTATGTTGTTTTAATGCTGTCATTTTAGGTTTGTATTTACTTTTATTCGACTGAGCTACCTGACTTGACTTAAAATTATGGTCTTTTTACAACTCTTTTATTCGCCTTGAGTTTGCTTTCCTAGAATTATCCTCTAATTCTATATCTGACTCAACTGCTTTTAAATTGCTCATGGACATTACACCTTGGGTTTAGATTCAATAGGAGACGCATGATTAAAGTCTGGCTACACTCTTGCACCGAGAAAAACTCAACAACCTGGTGAGCAGAACAATTTTGCTTACAAAAATAATACATAAAACTTATGATTTTAGAATCACTTATACTCAGATAGCAAAAGCAAGTTCGTTTTATTCTTGTGTTTACTGAAATAAAAGCGGCAAATAACAAACATTTGTAGTTACCTTTGAAAAGTCGTATAAGACAAAAGTACACAGACATCTCATGTATTCAGCTAAACTTCAAAAATGGAACCTGAATAACGTCCAATGCTTTTTCAAAGAAGTGAATATTTTGGTAAAAGCATAAGACTTGGGCACCGTGATGGAGTATAATTCCGTTATGGATAATATGATTATGAGCAATAAATTGTGCTCGAAATGTCATCAGTAAACATTACTGTATAAAACTGTGCGATATTATCAAAAAATGTTTTTGCATAATAGAAGGGAATATATTTTTTGACTTACCAAGGTAAACCATCCAGAGATGCTTAAAGTTTCTTCGGACTGTGACTAAAATATAGTTCAGAAAAGTAAACGAAGAAGATTACAGTTACTATCTATAAATCATGTTATACAACATTAGAATCACCTTAAAGTATACAGTTATCTTCCTTATTATATTAGATCGTTTTTGTTGACTACTCCTTTCCCAAATGAAACACAAACTGTCAACACCGTGTAGTGCTGTAACAGTAGAAGCCAAGACACGGAAGCCAAGGTATATTTTTCATTGGTCAGACCGCTGTTTATATTGGTACAGTTTATATTCGTTAACCAATCACTGAGCGTGTGATTTCGGTTTAAATCAAACGACAAGAAACAGAATGTTCAAATATGCATAGCACTCTGTTAATAGCGCAGTAATGAACTGTGGGAAAAACATTCTGACTCTAACATCAAAAAGAATGTTCAAATAGATATATTGTATTCTGTTGCTAATGCCGAATTGAACTGTGGGAATATGTGAGAAAAATATTCCGTTGGCACACATTGTCTGTATCAGGGCACCCGAATGTGACAGAAATATGGTAGAGTTCATTATCCAAATGTTCGTCACGAATACTTCGAGTCAAATTTGTAAAACAGCAGTATACTACGAAATGCTAAGGGGGAATCAAGCACACCCTTTAGTTTTTTAGGATGTGAAAGTAATTTTGAGAGGTATGCATGAAAACATTAATTGATTAGATAAATGAGCTCATAATGATGCAAAATTTCTGCATCGGAAAGAAACTTATTCAAAGATGAAGTGAAAATGAAGTATTTGGAACCACTACAAAACCTGATCTGATAATTTACATTGCATCTATCTTAAAATAATATAAAATTTAAAGTTATCAACAGGATGAGGCTGATTAAGAAGAGTCAGCTTCACTGTAATATCTTTATAAATTTATTTATTAGTGCAATCTTTCCTTTTTTCCCCTTGATATACTTTCACATCATTTAACGGAAGAGTACAATAGTGCCATAAGTTATGTGCTTTCCTACTGAGCCTCTTCATACAACTTTCATGAAAGCGACCTGAATTGTTGTAATTCAATGCACTTCAAGTGTTGCTTAATGCCAGTAATTTGATGTTATTAGGAACATCGTATTTATACTACTTGATCTCAGATAAAGAAACTGCCTTTCAATACGGTGTCGCCTGTGATTATTCTTCGAATAAGTACTAGTTTAGTTACTTTCAGAGTCGGAATAATCCCTTCATGTTTCTTTAATAAGGCATATCTTTTCAGTTCATTCTGTTTTGAAACTCAGTCATAAGCTGATGGCTTGTGAAATAATAAACTATATTCCCTAGAGGTATCTATGACAACAGTATGATACATTCCTATATTAAAATGATTTGAGTTACGTAGCATAATTACTTCTGTCAAACTTCCAGGAGGATACCTGACCAACTTCATCCTCATTACTTTACAATAATGATAGTTCCCCAAATTACAGCAGTTATACTGTCAAACGAAAAAGGAAAAGCCTTAATTGCTTTTCTGATTAACCTAGAAAAATGGCATAATTAGACTGACTAAAGCAACTTGATGAACATATTCCTAAATAAAAAGTGGGCCTTTCGGCAGAAAAGTGCCTCCAAATGGACATTGTCTGTTTTCAGTGAAGCTTAATAATTTAATCTTATAACGAAACATCACTTACAAATCCAAGAATCTGTACAACGTTGTAAGTTATGTCAACGTGCACAGGATTTGTAGATTGATTCATATGTCCATTTGGTCTGACTGTCAAACTTCCGCGACTAAGCAACTGAGCCACTAGTTTTTCCTCTGCTGTGAAAGAGCCACTCCACAGGTTGGAATCACTTATTGTAAATGCTGGCTCATCATATGAAGCTGGAGAAATAAAAAAACCAGTAACCATCTATAAAAATCAAACAAATGTAATAAATATATAAAAATCAGTGTTCAAATTGATTATGTAGTAAACACAACAGACAGGTTCATTTTAAATATGACAAAGTGATGCAACATTAACAACTGGATGACGTTTCGAGCACAAACTATTTCTCATAATCACATCAGCCTAAGGACCCAATAGATTCAGTTAAGAAAAATAATATACTTTACCAAATACCTGTAAGGTCAATTACATAGATCAAACTAGTAGGTCAGTGTTGACAAGATTATTGGAACATAACAATTTAGCTAGACCTAAAATAATTGACCCTTCTAAGTTAAATAACCTAGAAGAAACCTTAGCCATTGCACTGAATTCACCTGCATGTAATCGCAAACTAGGGTGACACAGGGTGAGAGTTATAACACGTAATAATGCTGGGTCGAGAGAGAGATTAAACACTGCGGCTTTGTTTATCTACTCAACACCACACATATGCAATCTGAATAACGCAACGCCTATATCGTCATCTAGTTGTTATTACTGTATCACTGTTTGATATTTGAAATAAACTTATCTAATATGGAATTACATTCTACCACAATGCTCAAGTTCTTCAACTACGTAGTAAACAATTAAAGATGTGGCAAGCAGTTTATAAATGGGTTAGAAGAAGGGAAAATTGCCAATTTTTTTACTTTCACTCAATGATGGTCAAGGCAAGATATATATATATATATTAGAGCATAGCCATAGACACAAATCTACTTGAATGGTAAATATATCCTCACTTAGTCTTTTTGTCTTCATAATGACAGTAACTGACCAACTGTTTTGCGTGAAAGATAGTTTTTAAGAGGTATTCAAAATCTGAGTAAATTATCATCCAGTTTCCGTGAATATTTGCTAGTTAGTATGAAATTAAATCTTGCAGAGACGTTGTATTCTTCAATT